TCAACCAACTACGCTACCGCGTGCCCCCCATAGATACAAGTATAAAATATTTGAATTCAGATAGGCAAAAATTTCTATGTACCAGATAGGACCTAACAGAATAACAGAGTCCAGTCTCCGAAACATCGGTTTTAAATAAAAAAAAGACGAGGGATAATATTAAAAAAAATCAAGTGTTGCACAAGGAGGAGCGTCATAATTTACAACAATGGATTTCTACCTCCAATAAACAAACGTCCAGAACAATAACGAAAGAAATTCTTAAAACCCGCATATAGACAGAACGCTTGTAGGCGTGCAGGCCCTGTCGCAGAGAGGACTGACCTCTGTCCCCACACTGCTTACTCCACATCATACTGGAGACGAATCAAAGGATAACCACCGCCGTTCAGCTGACAGACAGTGACATCCCAACAGAAGTCTCGGAGGAATTGACTGAATGCATAAACAATACTGGTTACAGATGGCGCTCATATTCAACATCTGTGCGTGTCGACAAGAACGACGCCCTGGCACGACCAGGCTGTTAACACACAATGAAATAATATCGTGTTTCCGTTTACATTTCAAGTGAAAATTTACATATGCATTTACAAATATCGACTGCCTATGTGGTCTAGTATTCAGACTTCCTGGCTACACATCCAGAGGTGCAGGGTTCGATTCTAAGCGCTGTCAGATTTTCTGTGAAGTAGTGGGTCTGGAAGGGGGTCCACACAGCCTCGTGATGATAAATGAGGAGCTATTTCAAAGAAATATCGGCTCCGGGCTAGAAATCAGAGATTAACGGCCGTGGGGATCCGTTGCGCTGACCACGCGACACCTTCTATCCGCAAAAGTTGGCACTAACTTCGCAGACCAGCGGCGGTCGCTCGATCGGTATAGTTCACTTGCGGACTAAAGCCCACGGAGTTTTCACAAATATCACATGACTTTGTAACTAAATAAAAAAAATAACAGACTCGCAGTTATCACTAAATTTTTAACTTTTACAATATAACATTTTCTGTCCCCCACGTGTCTTCTGTTCTCGTTCTTCCGTGAACAGGAAAGCACGTAAAGCAAAATGCGCAGTGATCTATGTCCATGGATGTCTGTAACTGTATTTGGATCCGATGTTTATTATGCTCTACCACCATGTGGCGCCACTGTGGCACGAAACGGAATAAAGATATAAGATGATAAGTACGAATAATTCAGTGTTTTTCTTTCAATATAATTTGGAAGAGAAATTTGGTGGCTTTTACATCAAGGGATCTTTCTTTTGATGAATTTAAGTTGGAAGGACTGCACAAAAAACATGCAGTAGCAACTTTGAACTTGGAAACCATCTAAGCATTTGTTTGACGACATAGGAAATCCAAGCCACCAAAATAATATTTAAATAATCAGTTTGTACCTCACAGAAAACACATTACGTCTTCTTTATACAAAGATCAATCGGTTGATGTTGTGAAGGGAAATAAATGCTGTTTATCGTGAAAAGCAAACAAAGACAAAATCTCACTCAGTGTGCAGAATGCAAAGTTTATGTTAGTTGACGCATGTGGTACATAGGTGTATAGACACTGAGTCTTAAAGGGTTAACAAAATGCAAATATTACTACAGAATATAGCGAGTGTTACAGGGTCTCAGGAAAGCAACATGTGACATAACTCACGGAACAAAGCATCTTCATTTTACCGTGTCAGTGTTCATTATCAAGTTCATGCATTTGTTATTTATTTTCAAAGATACTGCTTTTGAAATTCAGAATATAAAATTTTGAATAGAAACCGGCTCTGGGGCTCACCCAGCATCCTATCCAATGGGTACCGGGGGCGATTTCCAAGGGAGTAAATTGGGCGAGGCGTGAAGGTGACGTCCATCTAGAGCCAAGGTCAATAATGGTGGATCTATACCTCCATTCCCCATACGTCTTCATAGCATAGTGCTTAATGAATTAAGCATACGTAAAACTTTATTTTTACCTTCTGAGTATAAGCCTAATACTTGGAAAAGTCAGTATATAATATGTTTGTCCGAGAGGTAAATGGAAGGTAAAGTTATCCCTGTGCTTATCTAATTAAGCACTACACCATGAAGGCGTATTGGGGAGTGGATGTATAGATCCACGTTTTCTTGACCTTGGCACTAGCTGGAGGTGAGTGGTCACGCCCCTACCACTTCCGACCCCTTGCCCGAGAGGTAAACCTTCGAAAGAATTTAAAAGGCTCCGGCCTATGTTTTGCGGTAACTAAACTCAAATACGCGTTAGAAAAAGAGTCACGGGCATGTGTAAATATATTATTATGTTCTCACGTTTATATTTCTTTGTGTCTCCATTCGAAGCTTAATGTTGGAATTCACATGTATTGAACCGGTAAAGGTTAAAGTTTGTAATTTCGAAAGTTAGGTAGCGCTATTGCTTTGTGCTGGAAAATGGAAATGTTCTCAGTGTGAAAATCGGCTGATAACGGTAACTGTGTACTTTGGAATCTCGTTAGATTCCCGGAAAATAAAAGGTCAGCATGCTGCACAAAGGGAAAGTCCCTTTCGTACATGCACTGTGTTCCATGACAATTTGGTCGGATTCTGTGCACGCTTACCACAACAGACAAGCCGGCCATGTATAGAGTCTCTGTCACAAGGCCTGCTTACTTTCAACCAGAAATAATCAATTATTCCTTTAGTTCAAAAATACACTCATGCAAGATTAAATACTACTTTGGGTTCTTAAAGAGTAATCCATGTTAATCTATAACTTATTTATATCTATATACCAGCACCAGCAATATAGAGAGTACTTATTTCTGGGATAAAAGGAAAATGTAAAACTATCCCTGTAACAAGCCGTGGAGGACTATAACGTAGTGAGACGTCAAGGCTTCGACATTTTATAGACAATCGGTTCAGAGGTTGGTCAGACTTAAGTGCCAGACGCCCTTTACCCCGAGGAAGATTCCTGGTACTCATTTCTGTCAGAGGCTGAGTCGACTCCAGGGCCACAGTGCGGCTGGAAGGGTTAGGTCAATTGAAAAATACAATGAATTTATCTGGAATCTAAAACCCGATGAGATACGTCATGAAGTCCACCGACGTTTCGGAGTCTCCAGCTATCCAATGTCGAAGATTATGCAAAGCCAGAAAACTGAAAGAGCCAGACGGCAAATTATTCAATGATTGGATTTATTGACATCTTTTACAATCCCTCTCAATCACAACCAATCATAGCGCTACCGCTAATCCACCCACTCACAAATCACTAGGACACGCTATCCTTACCCTGGCAACGGATTTATTACAGGAACTACGTATCACTGCAAATCACTACGAAGTCTCCTTGCCATTTCTTGTTCAATCACCTTGAATCACCTTGGACTGCCGACCGGCCAGGATTCGACCCAGTTCTCCAATTCTAATTCTCTAATCTATTCTAGTCCAAGTCCAAATCCAAGTCACGTTGCGACTGACGGTCCGTCAGTCTGTCTTGGTGTCGAGCCCCGGCTGGGGCTCATGACCAGAATTGTTTTTCTTTTTTCTTATATGAAAGTTACTGTCCTGTTCATTTGGGGCCCCCTCCCTGACGAGAGGTCGGGTCTGTCATTTGTCAGTCACAGTCTGTGTTAGTAAGCCCATTGTCAGTATTTACTTTTTTTTTCCTGTGGCGCTACAGCCCCAATTTGGGCCTAGGCCTACCTGCATGAAACTCTCCGTTGCACTTCGGTTTACTAGATCTAACACATACGGTAGGACTCCTTGGGCGAGTGATCAGCTCGTCGCAAGGCCTCTACCTGTAGAAAAACGCACACAAACATCCATGCCCTGAGTGGGATTCGAACCCACGATTCCGGCTTCCGAGCGAGCGAGCCTTAGACCGCTCGGCTACCGTGACCGGCCAGTATTTACTTATATTTACAAATTTAATCTTAATTCCTATTTCTATGTACAATATATACAAGGCCTCTGTCAATCCAGGCTCAGTACAGCAGATTTTGGCCTACTTCTACCAGTATTCGCTACCACGGCAGTCTAGTCACTTGAACGTTAGTATGCCTGACCGCCGCCAAGTTTAAGCTACCTACAAATAGACTCGTTATATAGCCGCGACACGGACCACATAGAAAACATTCTTCTTCTATTAGGGATGAGTGTTTACTACTCCGTTGCATAGCACTGGACATGGCGCGGACTACATAGAAAACACGTACTATGTTGTCAGAATTGTGTAACCTAGCAACACAGCTTCTATTGTTGCGTGTTCGCTGGAACGTGTATACTGAGTCGTTGCCTAGCAATTGTCATATTAGTCACAATATGTTATGTACCTTTACATGGCAGGACGAATGTGAGTAATGAACTGGAGAGATGTGAAAGGAGGCGGTCGTGATGTCTGATATTCTAAACAACAGCACTAACCACTCGATCGGGAAAATCTGTTCAACCAGTGTCAATAAAGATATGATAATCAGTTTTGCCCTTGATTCACACATCTATTATACATTCTCATTTTGTGCTTTCATTTATCAAAATTTACGAATTCGATGTCCGTCTGGTTGCTGTTGATAATCTGCAATCGGACAGAAACGGCGCGAAACACGTGGCGTGTATTACCTACACTTCCGTCTAAAGGCGGAAATGCAAAGATTTGTGACGTAATAAAACAGCTAATGACTAACTTTTCGCATTAAACTTGTCTCACTAAGAAGGATCACATGAAACACTGCCGAGATAGATGACAAGCATTCTGAAAGTAGCAGATTCGAATCCCTGTCTTCGATTGGATTTCCTGACTTATCGGATTCGTGTTTTTGCCCAGCGTACCCACATCACTTAAAATAAGCCAGGGACGCTTACAGCAGCGCTCCTCTAGAGTCTTCTTCTGCAGCCAGACTAACTTGTCTTCACTGTCGCAACTATCAACACTGCGGTCTTCGAGGGCGTGCGTCATGTGATCTGGCAGAGTGTTACCGACATTTCAGACGAAGCTGCTGCTTCCAGTGTAGATGCGACACTAGGCGTCAGTTGGCTTCAGCTACACCGTGTCATCCCAAAAGGTAGTAACCACAGAGCTATTGGCCGCGCCATAGCTCAAGCAGTTAGTCGCTGGCTTCCCACCGCGGCGGCCCGTGTTCGATCCCGGGTCTGGTCAAGTGGGATTTGTGGTGGACAAAGTGGCGCTGGGACAGGTTTTCTCCGAGTACTTCGGTTTCCCCTGCCAATCTTCATTCCACCAATTGCTCCACAATCACCCTCACCTATCATAATAGGCCAGAAGTGGCCGCAGTACAAGGGACTTAGTCCCACCCCACTAGCAATAAAAATAACATAGAGCTACCATACGTACCCCGAAACCAGTAACGTAATCAAAAGACTAAAACATAACATTCATATAGAATATTTACATTACAGTTCCATCAATAATGCAACCATTTTATTCCTTAGAATTTTCATTTTTTAAAACCTGTTTCGCCCCAAAACCGGTAATCATCAGGTACTTCACTTCACCAAAACACTTACCTGCATTGAATATCGGTCATACATGTCACGTGTACCTGCGTCATTCCATATGAATATTGCGGTTACGACCCAGCTAACATTGCAAGCGAAACCTGTTACACTGTAATGCTAATGAAAATTCTAAGGAATAAAGTGGTCGCATTGTTGACGGAACTGTAATATAACTATTCTATGTGAGTGCTATAAAAATGTAACAAGATGCTTAAATACAATAGAATAAAATATAAAGTTATCTCTGTGATTAGTTAAGTACTATGATATGAAGACATATGGGGGAGTGGAGATATAGCTCCATCATGATTAACCTCGGCACTAGATGGAGGTAAGTGGTCAGCTTGACGTCTCTGCCGCTTTACCACAGGGAAAGAGATCCCGGTATCCATTGGATATGAGACTGGGTGGGCCCCAGAGATGGTCTGGACGCTGTGGAGAAGAAAAAAATCTTACTCCTGCCAAGAATCGAACCCCGGCCGTCCTGTAGCACGTCGCTATACCGACTGAGCTGTTCCAACTTCTACCCATAAGAATAGCAATCCATAAGCCGTGGAATCACAACAGACTGGGAATGACAAGGAAGGTGAATGTAGAGTAGTCGCTACTCGGAAGCACCATGTAAGGGGGCCCACACACGTACGAGTCTGGTTCGCGAGTCCGACTCTGCTAGGGTTCAAATGAGCCCACCTCGTCCGTGTGTGGGTCGCCACGTTCATACGTGTGTGGTGAAATTAATCCGAGCCCTGCTCCTCGCGAGCCAGACCTGTACGTGTATGGGCCGCCTAAGACACACGAAGAAGTGAATCCTCATTCGCTCTGTACATCGGCAGGAGGAGTAGGGAAGTTGTCAGTTCTAGGGCCACGCAGATTTCCCCCCCCCCCGCGGACAGGAAGCTTGGTGGACGCGGAGGTGTCTAAATATAGAGGAAAAGTTAAACGTCTGTCTATCCACAGTCCGTCAATAATGCAACAATTGTTTATTCACCATTTTACACACAACACAACGTGTTTCGGCTATAGATGGCCATCTTCAGGTGTCTTAATGCATGCAAACTGTTACACTGTTCTGATGTGCGCTAAAGCCGCGCGTTACAGTCCACTTAATTAACTATTTATGTTATTTTTAAGTGGACTGCAACGCGCGGTTTTAGCGCACATCAGAACAGTGTAACAGTTTGCATGCATTAAGACACCTGAAGATGGCCATCTATGGCCGAAACATGTTGTGTGAAGTGTAAAATGGTGAATAAACAGTTGTTGCATTATTGACGGACTGTGGATACATAGACGTGTAATTAAAGATTTGCACCAGGATGCTGAAATACAGAATTATAGAGGAAAAGATAAAAGAAAATCTATGGGAAATATTACCCAGTTGTCCAAGCCGTAGCCAGTGGCTTTAATAAACTGTCCCGACGGGAAATGGCAGGCAGGAAAATTAAGTTATCCTCTTGAAAAATCTGGTTGACCGTAATATATTCCTCGGCATGTTCATATGTGATTAAATGCACGGCTCTCAACTTGACCTGCTTGTCTGTAAAGTAATTCAGTTTCATACGACTGCCATCTTCCTTGCTTTCCGTCAAAGTAAAAAGAGGTAAAATTATCCTTGGCGTAATTAATTAAGCACCACGCTAAAGAGCCCTGTGAGGGAGTGGAGGTATAGCTCCACCATTCTTGACCTCAGCACTAGATGGGGGTGAGTGGTCAACTTCACACCCCTACAGTTTTACCTCTAAGTAAACGGCACACATAGCGGCGTCCATAGTCTAGGGGTAACGTTCCCACCTCATGACTCAAGGTACGCGGGTTCAAACCCGGCGGAGGTAGTGGAATTTTTAAGGGCGGAAAAATTCAGGGAACAAGTCCTCCAGGAGGGACTTTAAGCCGTGGGTCCCGTGTCGTAGATTTACAGCACGTAAAAGATCCTCATATCTCTAGGAGACCTCTGAGCTAAATTAGGCAAAAAAGTTTCCCGCCCAAGTAGTTTCCAATGCCTCTGGTAGATGGGGGAAGTATTAGGTACCGAAGGCCGACATCGTTGGTTGAACGGGGCTAATAGCACGCACCAGTACATGTAGGGTATGGCGACTGGTAGAATATCAAAGAGGGGGGTACAATAGATCAACAACTGGTCGCGGTGCATGGGGAAACCCACCCCCTTCAATAATAATAATAAATAATAATAATAATAAAACGGCACACATTATCCAAAGCGTAGGGGTCTGGGTGTTACGCAGGGTCGGTCTGGACTTTTCTTTTCATTAAGGCTTGTTGTTTTTTGTGTGTGAGCTACTAGCGTAATGTTGCTGACTAGTTTTCTAAATCTGAATATTCTTTGTTGGGTGGTCTTCCTTCTGTAGTGAACATTGTCGGGAGTCGAACCTCGATTCCTCGGCCACCCTGTCTGTAGCCTACTCGCTAAACCGACTGAGCTATCCCATCTCCAACTGCCTTCTGTTAAAGGAATCAAAATACAACTTACTGGCGTGAATAAGATGCTCAATGAATTTTGATTGAAACGGGCAGAATTACTACCATGGGCGCCGTCAGAAATCTTTCTGGCTGGGTGAGGTTATAAACCTCGCTTATAAACTTACGTTTAGATCGTATAAGATTATTTTAATGATTTCGGCAGATTATTCGGTTTATAATAACAATCTTTCTATAAACTAATTTTAATTTTTGATATTAAAATATTCTGTGTATTTATTTTGCCCCAATTCGATATTTCCGTCCAAGGGGAGCTATAGATGCCTGATTTGCGCCTCCCCACTTTGGCACCTATGCCTAAAATTTCCGTAGTCCCATTTCTAGCCTACTTATTTAAAAAAATCATAGTATGCATGTAAGACACCTTGCTGCCTGTCTGCCTATCCACCTACTACTGTTTCTAGGCAACGTCACGATAAATATTTTCCCGCAGTAACCGATATAAAAGCAACAATATAAGAAATGTTGGAAGCCTTGTTTTCTATGTGGTCAGTGTCTATCAAATATTCAATATGGTTCTTTGTTAAATAGTTCTTCGCCCGTGTGGAGGCGGGGTCGAATACCTCCACCGTGACCCTGCGAGTCGTAGGAGGCGACGAAAAGGGAAGCCTCAAATCGCACAGCGCTTAACCAATTAAGCACAAGGAATAACTTTACTTTTTTACAAGCGAGTTATACGACATTCTTCGAAGCTTGGATTAGTACCTTTAAATAAAATAGCCGCGCCACAAGTTCCAGGCCATTTTTACTATTACAGTTCGCTCTTGTGGGCGAAGCGTCATTTAGAGACCCTTGATCTTTTTATTGCTAGCGCGGTGGGACTAAGTCCCTTGTACTGCGGCCACTTCTGGCCTACTGTACCAGCCCCAGATGACAGGTGAGGGTGATTGTGGAGCAATTGGTGGGATGAAGATTGGCAGGGGAAACCGAAGTACTCGGAGAAAACCTGCCCCAGCACCACTTTGTCCACCACAAATCCCACTTGACCACACCCGGGATCGAACCCGGGCCGCCGCGGTGGGAAGCCAGCGACTAACCGCTTGAGCTATGGCGCGGCCTTGAGAGTCCCTTGATACTGCAATCTCAATTGGGCATATTGTACAACCACTGATGACAGTTAAATGGGCCTGTGGAATGATAACTTGCACATCGGAGAAATCCATGCCTCAGCACCATTTCGTCCACCATAAATCCCACAATGACTATTTTAGGACTGAACCCGGGAAGCCGCAATAAGAAGCGGATGGCAAACAGCCTAAACACTGCTCCGTTTATCGATAATCTTCAATCGATGTTTAAAACCGTGCACAATATATTAAATTGTCTGTACGAATACATTTCAAATAGTATACTTCAAACATGTTACATACATGCACCGCTTGCTTTAACATAAAAATATTGTGAGATTATTCTTTCAGATTTGGGATTCTCGATGCCGTGGATATGATGTATATAAAAAAAGTAAAGTTATCCCCGTAACAGGCCGTAAAGGCCCATAGGATTGTGAGACTTCGAGGTTCCCATATTTTCTCTAGACAATCGGCTCATAGATGGCAGTAAGGTTGTCACCCTTACGCGCTTGCCAACCTTTACCCCCACGAAAATTCCTGGTACTCATTTCTGTTAGAGGCTGAGTCGACACCAGGGTCATAGTGCGACTGGAAGTGTTAGGTAAATTGAAAAAAAAAAAAATCCACCTCATCGGGAATCGAACCCGCGACCATCCGGCTTGTAGCATAGTGTTTCAACCAACTACGCTACCGCGTGCCCCTTATTTATGATATATAGGGATGTATAAATCCTTACCATTGTTTTTGAGGAACCTGCCACCTCCATGTTCGGGCTGTGACGCCGTGGAAGCTAGCAGATCGTTAGCAACCTACTACTTCCATCTTTAGGATACAGGAGTGAATATGGGGACGTCGGGTTAATCCGAAACGTTGGTAACCATCTACCAGAGTACACGCAGTAGCACCCAAAAAGAAAATTATTTTCGGCAATTACTTTCCTAAATTCCATTAACCGATTAGTTTTCGTAATGGAGACGCAG